AAATACAGATGTGCAAAATGCCAAGAGTGAACAAGAACAGGTTCACAGAGCAGACTTCATGTTATCAGCCTGTCTCTCCCCTCTAGAACGTAAACGCCCGTGAACTGGAGTTTTATCTGCCATATACTACCACAGCATCCTGGGGCTGGGCAGAATGCCCTGTGTACAGTGTGCTTGTAATAAATACACGCTGAATGAATGAGAACCGATAGGAGTGGGCACAGAGAGTTCTCATCCTGCCACCTTCACTTACCACCAAGGTGTCCTGTCAGTTGATACTAACATACTTGTGGATGTCTGGTCCCTCCTAACGCAGCCACAAGGCAAACTGGCCCTAGACTCCTCATTTGTGACACAGTATAAAGGAAATAAATAAGTCAGGAAAAGGATCAAGTTTGTCTCCCAAAGGAAAGAGATATTAAAACAAAATAAATTCTACTTTCTCCCCAGCCCTAGAAATCTGGACTCTGGGGCACCAGCGAAAGAGAAGTGGGAAACTCAGCAGAATGCAGGCCTACGAGGCTGATCCCTGCATTGTCACCAAGGGGCTTGGGAGGCTGATGTCTGCTAAGTTTGGTTCTTTTTCCCCCAGTCCAAGTAAATGATTTTCTTAGTAGACAAAACCTTTTCGTTATCTTCCAGATAAAACTATCTGGTGTGTTTAAATACAAATCAGAAGAAGAGCACTAAAGTTTATCTTCAACATGTTCTATGGTATCATTTCCCTAAAATAGAACCCTCCTAAAGTCTCCTAAAAATAAGCCTGCTATAGTTTCATTTTCTGAGGAGATAAATACATGAAAACACACACTTGGCTTCCTTCTGAAGTGTCTTTTCTGTTACAAGAGGTTCAAAGATCAAAGTCTGGAAGGTCCAGTTTCTTCATTCACAGGTCAGTGACGCAGCTTTGCAAAAGAGGAAAATAGTGCCCCGTGCAGGGCCGCTGAAGAAAGAGGAAGCAGTTATCGAGAATCACTGACAAGAGCACTGCCAGGGGAAATTACAAAACAGCGAGGGCCAAGCAGAAGACAGATTCTTCACACACAACTGGCCCTGTGGCATCCAAAAGGGTCAGCTATCAAAATTATAAACCAACATGGAATTCTGGCTACAGCAGTCTGAAATCTAAAGCTAAATTTTAAAACAAGTTGCAATTAAAATAACTTTTTTTTTTTTTAAATATACAGTATGTTGAAGTTTCCCCAGGTCTGGGGTTCCTCCCTGGAGACATTCTGGGCAGGTCAACCCTCATCTTTTTCTCTTTTTTTAACCTTGGCAGCACTTTCCCATGAGAGGCTCAGACTGTGAAGACTCGCCCTCTGCACGAAAGCAAAGTCCTCACACAGTAGGTAGCCACAGAAACTCGGGGCTGTTTAGTGGGATCCTGTGCTAACCCTAAGAAATGAAAGTGTGTGGAGATCTGGAAAAGGGAGTACACGATATGAACAGGGGTCCCGGGTGACTCCTGGGGTCCTTGGGGCCTCCCAAGTCAAGGGGAACTGAGGAAACTCGCTACAGTGCCCTGGAGGTAAACTTAATCTGATAGAGGAACAGTAACCTCTTCCCAGGGACCACTCCGGTTGTTCACTTCTGTCCCCACTGATAGCCACCACCCTCCCGGGCACAGCCTGCATTGGGCAAGGGCTTCCTCTTTTGTTAAAATGCTTTCTTGACATTAGTGCTACTTCAGGCTTCCTAAGCAACCACATCGACAGACGACAGATCACGCAGCTACCCCAACATGACACCCTTGTTGGCCTGCGTCCTTCTGATGCTGAAATAACCACCAGTGTCTGTACAAGTGTCTGGGGGAAGCGGACAATTGAGCTTCTCGGGAAAGCAAATTTTTAAAAGACCAATTTAAAGAAAACAGTGTGATAAAGCCCAGCGACCAAGACCTCTAGACCTGTATAGCCACTAATTAGCCGTGTACTCCTTGTGATCTGAGAACAGTTTTCAGTCTCTTGAAATACCAGGTTCTTCTCCAATGAAAGGATCGAACTACATCAGCAACTTCATCCTGGCCATACATTAGGATCACCCAGGAACCAAGGCAAGAGTGCTGATGCTGCCACACAGGAGCCAAATCCCATCAAATTCTGGGAGTGCTAGTAGTTTTCAATTGTTCCCAGGTGATTCTAAAAAGCCAGCCAGTGCTGGAAACGACGGGTCTGAATCCCAACTTTCAAGGCCTCTTTCTAATTCTTTAATTCTGTCTGTAATTTCTGTCATTTTCATTTTTTCTGGTCTTTTTTTTTTTTTTTTTTTTTGAGGGAGGAATGGGGAAAGTCTTCCTCCTGGAACTTGCCATGTAGACCAGGCTGGTCTCAAACTCATAGAGACTGCCTGCCTCTGCCTCCTGAGTGCTGTGATTAAAGGTGTGCACCCTTATGCCCCAGCTTTATTCTGTAATTTTCAAATGATAATTCTGGTTACAGAGTTACATGATGTTCAGCCCCAAAAGCCACAAGGGAAGTGAGTTTAAAACCCTGTATACCTTCCCTGTATGCAAATGTTTGCAAGTTAACCTGAATACTAGACATTTTTAGGAGTTAAGCATTCTAAAGAATAACTCCGAAGGAAAGTTGTGCGCTTGAAGTGCAGGTTTCCAAAGTGACTATTCATTACAGGAGGCAGTCCCTAAACTCAGATGCGTGGAAACGCTCACAGTTAGCTGCTACCTTCTCTCCTTCACTCTTCTTCCAGCCCCACTAAACCAGAAACAAAAAAAGCTGGCTGTCACAGCCAGTACATAAAGCCTGCCTTGCATTAAGGGTCTTCTGTCTCCGTCATTAAAGATATGGACAATCCTATGGCTGCTTCTTTTGATTAAGGTCAACTTGCAAAAACTTCCTAAATTATATTCCTTCAAGTCTTGAAGGATTACTTAATACATACTAGGATTAAAGTAAAAATAATTATAAAGCATATGCCCTAAAATACATAAAAAGTTTTGAAATATTCTATCTGCAGTATTTTATACAGCTTTAGTCAGAGATGGTAGTGAAAAGAAGACTTTGAAACAAATAAACAGCTATAAAACCACAAATGACTATGTCCCCTTGGCTCTACTGAAATCCTCAAATCTTTATAAAAATATAGCTACTTTTGGTAACCACTTTCTGAAATAAATCTTAGAAAAATTAAAAATTCAAACACACAAAACTGGTATTTTTCTAAACACAACAGCAAGAAATACTACTTACGGAATTAAACTGCTTTTGTAATCCTAAAAATCAGAGGAAAGGGGCTGTAAGATGGCTCAGCAGGCGAAGGCACTCGCTACCAAGTCTAATGACAGCTCCCAGGATACACAAGGTGAGAAAAATGCTCCCAAGAGTTGTCCTCTAGAGGACTTAGACACACACACACACACACTCATCAGAAAAGGTTAAAAACCCTTTCCTATGTTAATTTTTACAGTTAAGTAACCTTCACCTAATAGATTCTCTATAGCTAATTCAAATACGTAGGATTTAATTTCAAGTATGAATTTTCTGAGAAATATTCCAAACTCCCAAGTGCATTTTGCTCAGTTGTACACACACCTTCCAGACAGTGTACAGGGAAGCCAAACCCTTGCCCTCCACTTCAAAGCAGCATTCAGAGCTATCACACCAGCAAGACTGTATCAGAAGCCCATCCCTTCTGGAAACAAACAACCCCCACCTCACACTCCCGACATTCCTTTGGAAAACAATAGAATCCGATCAAACACAGGGCTTGTCCCATCGCCATCTGAATCACCTGGAATGAGACAGATCTGGGGAACATTTTGCTTTTAAGCCATCTAAGCAAGGCCTCTCTTCAGGACAGTGCACGTCTTAGAAGACCTTCTTCTGCCAGGCTTTTACAGCTCTACTTCAGCTCTCCACAGAGAGGAACTGTTCTTACTTTATACACCTCAAAACCTAGACCCACAAGTCAGGGATCCACAAGGGAGCGAAGTAAGGAAAAAAGAAAACTGTAAGCAAATGCAAGGGGTTTGTGACAGCTCCAGTAACGTGGGGACTCTGCTGCCGCTTTCAGGGGAAGGGTGCCCAGAAGAGCAGGGCAGCCCAGCAGGGCACAGGATTGGATGCCCAAGTGCAGGAAGTCATTACAGCATAGACTTTCCTCACCTCTCCCTACCACGTGTGGGTGCCCCCAGAGGCTAAAAAGGAACAGAAGTCTCTCTCTGGCTCATTTATAAGTAGAAGCCATTATGGCCCAACCCAGCTATCAACACCCCTCCCTCCCACATAGGTAAAGCTCAGCCCTGAGTCCCCAACACGTGACACCAGCCTCAAATACTGCCTGCAGCAGCATAGGCCTCCACTGGGGCAGCAAGTGTAGCCAGTACACTTTGGGGTGACAAACCCAGTCTGTTCCAAGCCCCGGAGCATTCTTCAGAGTCTGCCTGCTGGCAGGGTTGCTGGAGTGACAGCTCTGGAGAATACAGGTGTGAGCAGGAAAGGCGTGTGAGCCGGCCAGGACGGTCAGCCATCATTGCCTTCTTAATGGGATCGATTTGCCTGTTGGTGTCAACACCCACAAGCACAAGTTGGACCCAAGGATCCACATTCAGTTTGCTAGTATCAGGCTCCTGCCACTGACTTGAACGCAGTCCCAAACACTCCCCCACACACGCCCCTTCCCTCCACCCACTGTCCTCGCTACAGCCCACTTACATTCCCTCCATTCCAAAGTTGGCCGCCGACCTACCTCCTCCCCGCAGTAGGGGTAATCCAGCAAATACAAATGTCCCCGTCCTTCCTAACTTAGTGTGTGCCCCTTCCCCACAGCCTCCTCACCTAGGCATGCCCAAGGCTTGTTCGGAACCCTCCTTTCCCTCTCTGAGGCCACCCCCAGGCTTTCCTCCTCCAGGGGCGAAAAGAACCCCCCTCCGTCAAAAGCCTCACAACAAAGGCTTCCCTGCCAACCCTCTCCGGGCACGGGCAGAACGCTCGCTTCAGTAAGCGCCTGGCAGGTCCGGCCGCCAGCCCCTGGTAGGTACGCACCTTCCAGCCCGCCGAGCTGTTGCTGTCGCCCTTATCCTTGAAGTAGGGCACACAGCGCACCATCCACTCGTAGATCTGGGACAAAGTGAGCCGTTTGTCCGGGGAGCTCTCGATGGCGCGGGTGATCAGGTCGGCGTAGGACAGGTTCCCCCAGGCATTCCGCCGCGAAGAGCATTTCCTCGGCTGCCCGGAGCCCCCAGCCGCCCCCGGCTGCGGCGGTGGCAGTGGCTGCTGGGTCTGCAGTGGCGTTTGCGTGCCCCCGCTCAGGGCGGCTGCCGCGGACGCTGGCCCGGACCCGAGGTCCTGCCCTCCGGGAGCCAGCAGCCTGGTTGAGTCCTCGAGGAGCAACCCTGAGCCCAGCGTGCTACTCAGGCCGCCACCGATCACCATGGCAGAGCTGGCTCGGCCGCCACTGTCCTCGTCGTCTTCATCGTCGTCCTCCTCGGGGATCATGGAGTCCGCGGCCGTCTCCCCCGAGGGCTTGGCCGGGCTCGCCTGCAGCTCCGGCCTCTGCAGGGGCCACGTACAGGAGCGCGGCCGACTCTGGGGCTCGAACTCTGGGTCCAGCTCCACTTCCAGCGGAGAGAGCGGGACCTGGGAGGCTGATGCCTCTGCCATCTTCGCCGCCTGCCCGCCGCCCGCGGCTCGGGCTCTCGTGCTGTCCTCTCGCGCCCAGGCTGGGTGCGGCGGGAGAAGACCAGGGCGCCGCGAAGGCTCGGGCTCCGGCTGCCTAGGGAAGCGCCAAGAGAGAGTTGGTTATCCCGTGCGAGAGCTTAGTCCTCCGAGACTCCTGGCCCGCCACCGCCGCCTCCTCCTCCGAGAACGGGCGGACCTGGGGACGTGCGTCCCGCGAACCTGGCGCAGCAGACGCCGCCCCCTGGTCAGGCCGCCCGGGAGACGCGAGCGAATCGACGGCCGCGCACCGGGCAACCCCCTCCCCCGCGGCCGTCGCCAGATCTGCAGGTCTATGCCGGGCTAGGTGGCGGGGGGGGGGGGGGGGGGAGTGGGGGGTAAAGGGGAGGAACAGAGGGGGGCGGGGGGAGGGGCGCCCGCGCCTGTAAGTGGGCAACCTCCAGACCCCAGCAACACAGCAGCGATCGGAGGGCGGGCGAGCGTGCGTGCGTTTGTTTATGTTTCGCTCCGACCCGCTCAAGTGCCTCCCGCGGAGGCGCAGCCCAAGTCACAGGAGTCCTGAGCTCTTCTCCCCCCTCCAGGGCCCTGGACTGCCGCCCCCCCCCCCCGCACACCCCTCCCATACGAGTGGCCCGAGACTAAGGCTGGCGCAGGCAACTCCCGTCTCTTCCTCTCGACCCGAGGACCAGCAGGGCGAGCGTGGGGGTCTGGGCGCCAACTGCCCAGGGTCACTTCCAACAAGAGAGAGAGGGCCGACCCTGCAGGAGCGACCATCAAAAGGATCTAAGGTGTCTTTTCTTGGGGACGTGGGGCCCTCCGCCCCCTTCCCGGTCAGAAACGGGAGGGAGGAAGCAAGTGGGAACATAAATCTTCCAACAGGTCGGGAAGCGCCAAATCTCCCGGGCTGCCAGAAAACCCGGACCAGCACGTTCATCACCTCCTTGCTCCCGCTGCTGCCATCTTGACAGTTCCCCCCTTCCCTCAAGTCCTTTAAAGACACTAGCGGGAGGGAAGGGGGGGGGGGGGAATGCACCGAGTCACGGGGAGGGAAAGGGAAGCGCCTGGCCCAGCTCGGAAACAGATCCGGAGTCACTGGGAACGCGGCCGCCCCACTGCACAGCTCCAGCGCCTACCTCGGCTCCTTCCCTTCAGGGACGAAGCGGGAGGGCGCACGATTCCGAGCGAGCCCAGGACACGGCGACGAAGGGGCGCTTGGGCCGCCGCAGCAGCCCGCCGGAGGAACCTCCTGTCAGCCTGCGCGCCGCCGCCTTCCACATTCCTCCTCCTCCCTTCCCCGAGCAGGGCGGCCGCGGCAGCAGCACAAAGTTATAGACACACGCAGGGAGCCTCAACCTAGGCTGACGGCGGGGCGGGTCCCCGCCCAGGGGGAGGGCTGGGGCGGGGGCCGGGAGTGCTGCCGTGCGTGCGTGGGGGAGTGCGCGTGTGTGCTCAGTCGCGCCTGCGCGGGGCTGCGGGAGTGGGGGACGGGCGCGCGTCGCGAGCTGGGGCTCGGCCGGCTCCCGCCGCCCTCCGTCCCGGCGTCTTCTCGCTCCGGAGAACTTCAGCGACAGCACGGCACCACGCCGGGCCGGGACGGACTGGCAAGTTAGAGCGCACCGAGGTGCGCAGTCGCGTGCCTTTTCCGCTCCAGGGCCAGCATCTGACTCGCGGGTCCCTGGCCTGCGCGTCGGACATCGGGTTCGGAGCCCGCCCTGGTATCGGGTTCCTCCTTAGAACCCGACACCCGGTAACACCCGAGATAAGACTCTAACCGCAGATGACAAGGGTTACCTTGGCGTGGAAACACTGGCCAGCGTGGCCAGCGGCGCCTGGCAATAGGCACCGAAAGGTGTGTGCTGGACTCTCACCTGGGACGTTCAACCACCGTCGCGCTTCGCTTCTCACGGACTTCAAGGCAAACCGGACAAAGTGCAACTCAGGAAGACAAGTGCAGTGCGCCCCAGTCCTGAAAGCGGGAGCAGATACCGAACTGGAAGCGGGCTACGGTGTTATTATGGTAAAGCAGCTGACTACGGGCTTGACTTTTTAAGTCTTTAGGCTTCAACTAGCACTTTCGCAAGCCCTTATCCGTACCTCTAGACCGTTCGCGTGTGCTTTCCCGCACCACATGCGACATGCATACCAAAAAGTCTACCCATTCTGATACATGTGCACTTTCAAAACAAAATCCTCTCAAGTCACTGCAGATAAAAGTCGGGGCGCCGCAACAACCCAATCCACAGGAAAAACAAACAAAAAAAAAGCGGAGAAGCGCCGGCAAAGGACGCCTACCCTGGAACTCCGGCCTCCAGGCTTTGCGCGCGACCCGTCACTCAAGTGACGTGCAGCCCCGCCCCTGCACCAAGCTAGTTCGACGCGTACAAACAGATGATGTCATTGTCTCTACACGCGCGTGACCCCGGAGCCCCTGCGCCGCGTCGCCATTCGCTGCGCCGCTTCCTCGTCAAGCCACGCCGCGCGCTGACTGGCCGCCGCCGCAAGTCTCCGGGCCCCAAACGCCCCTCTCTACCCCTCGGCCCCCGCCCCCAGCAAATAATAAACAATCGAGTAAAATTGGAAGAACGGGGAGGTGTGGGGGGGGGGGGGGCGAATGAAGACGCTCCGGGAGACAGCCTTCGGCGCGCGCAGACGGCGGGAGGACTAGAGAGGGTGGATCGTGCGGGGAGGAGGGAAAGGAGGAAGAAAGCGGACCTGGGCGGCTCGCTCCGGCAGGGCAAGAAACTTGCGGGACCTCGGCAGAGGAGCGCCTGCCGGTGCGGCGGGCGCTAGGGCCTCAAGTCCGGGCATAAGCGGACTGGGCGGGGCCCGGAGAGCGGGGGCGGGCCCAGAAGGGCGGGGGCGGGGCCTAGCTGCGCAGAAGCCCGCAAGCGGAGCCGGGCGACACGTGCGGGGGATGGGGGCGCGCTGCATGGGCTGGTCCGGGACGCGCGGCCCCGGCGGCTCGCGCGTTTGTTTACCAGCACACGTGTGTATTATTTTTGAGATGGAATGTGGGACTGGCGGCGCGGCTGGCGCGCGTGGGGCCGCCCGCCTCGGCGGAGGGACGCGGTGAGGTGAGGCTCCCCGAGCGAAGCAGGCCCGGCTGACCGGGTCTGCTCTTCCCGCATAGCCGGAGGCTCGGGCCGCGCGTCGCGACTACGAGGTTCCAGTGCTATCCCGGTAGCTGCGGAGACAACAGGCAGTAGCCGGGAAACGCTGCCGCCCTCGCGTGTGCTCCTCGGGCTCCTGCTTTCACGAGAACAAAGCCACAGCCTTAGGGACGCGCTGCTGCACACACCTGGACCACGAGGTGGACCCTGCGCGGTCTGTGCCCTTGCTCCGAATAGCCCCAGTCCTTAAGTACAGGTTTTCGGGGTGCGTGACTCGGCCCACGTACAAATAAATGCATTTCCATCACCTCGGTTTGGGAAGGGAAGGTGAAGAAAGGAATTGTGCCTTCTAGGGTTGCCAGCTACCTTAGGATCCTCTCCAGGCCTTTCCAGTCTGTCTACTAAGAAGCCCCGAGCTTGATTTTAATTTACAGCCTGGCAATGTAGATGATGACCTGGTATCTCAGATTCAGCTTCTATTGCCTGTGCTGCAAATAGGGGTGGAGATTTGTAAAGAGGTTAGGGGTTATTATTCGGAGTCTGGTGTTGGGCTCTGTGCCCAGGTCAAACTCCAAAGATCTCACTTACTGTTTTAAAAAAAAAAAACCAAAAACATCCTATGAAATAAATTCTTCTGTAAATCTAAGCAGTCTGTCCCACTAGAGTGCACACCTGCAAAAGTAGAAAGAATGTGTTGACACTGGCTGGGCTCTGAGCCCTTAGATTTTTCTCCATGAACATGTTGAGTGTCCATTTACAGAGTGCACAACTAAGGGCATCCAAATATTTGGGACGCTGTAAGAGTCTGGACTATCACTGAGAGCATTTTGACCTGAAGAGTAGAGAATGGGGACCAGGCACACGATGCAATTTATCTCAAAAACTTGCAGTCTTAACTGGTGCCATAAGACGTGTTTGATAAGTATGTCAAGAGTTTGAAATCAATGCAAGGCAAATCAAGGACATGCATGTAGTGTTGGGTGTCTCTGTGTGCTTCAGAGAGTTTATTACTATGGGAAAACTTTGACGACACCCCCTGAACCTCCCCTTATATTGCCTTTCTGTAGTTGGAATTTTCTTTAGGCCATCAACCAGCTCCCAAATAAAGATCCAAAGACTTATTAATTATGAAAGCTCGGCCTTAGCTTAGGCTTGTTCCATTAGGTCTTTTAATTTAACCTGTTTTTCCATTCCTCTACGTTTTGCCTCACTTTTTTTTTTTAAGCCTTTTTTTCATTCTGTATGCCCTGTTTTCCTGCTTCCTCCATGTCTGGTTAGGCCCTGGCATCTCTTTTTCTTCTCAGAGTCTAAATTCCTCTTCCTACTAATTCTTCCTGCCCAGAAGTCACACCTATACCTCCTCCCTCACTATTGGCCGTTCAGCTTTTTATTAGACCAATCAGGTGCCTTAGGCGGGCACAGCAACATATCTTTACATAACTAAACAAGTGCAGAGCATCTTTACATCGTTATACATGTATGTCTTTGCATAGTTATACATGTATGTCTTTACATAGTTATACATGTATATCTTTACATCGTTACACATGTATGTCTTTGCATAGTTATACATGTATGTCTTTACATCGTTATACATGTATATCTTTACAGTTACACATGTATGTCTTTGCATAGTTATACACGTATATCTTTACATAGTTACACATGTATGTCTTTGCATAGTTATACATGTATATCTTTACATAGTTACACATACTTTGCATAGTTACACATGTATATTTTTACATAGTTACACATGTATGTCTTTGCATAGTTATACATGTATATCTTTACATAGTTACACATGTATGTCTTTGCATAGTTATACATGTATGTCTTTGCATAGTTACACATGTATATTTTTACATAGTTACACATGTATGTCTTTGCATAGTTACACATGTATATCTTTACGTAGTTATACATTTATGTCTTTGCATAGTTACACATGTATGTCTTTACATAGTTACGCATGTGTGTCTTTGCATAGTTAAATATTCTGTTTCACCTGACCTTGCAGACCTCCCTACCCCAACCCTAACCCTATCACTATTTCCTCCTATAACCCTGTCTCCGTCTAAACTTTATTATAGGAAAGCTGAGGAAGTATGGTGGGTGTTGACCCAGTTGGGTGCCAGCATTATCTTTAAGGTAGATATCTTCCGGTTTTGCTTTTAAGACAGGGTCCTTTGTCCAGACTGGTCTTGAACTTGAGTGGCAATTACAGATACATGCTACCATACTCAGCTAAGGTTAAAAAAAAAAAATCAAAACTTTCCCCACCTCGTATTTCCATTTAAGGTGATGATTATCCTATGCCCTGGAAACTCGACTACTAGAAGAACAATATTCTAAATTTAACCTGAGTAAGGTGAATAAAAGCATTTGGTCAACTCTCTGTGAGGGGCCTTGGAAGAGGTACAGGCCCAGCTTCCTCGGGGACCACTGTTGTACGCTTAGCAGAGTCCTCCTGAAAGGCAGGCTGTGGTGCTCCTAACCCCAAGTTCAAATCCATAGTGCTAAGCATGCTGCACCCCAGAAAGTGCTCACTTTTCTTCTGAGTTGGCTTCTGCTATCTCAACAAATATGTGACCCAGCTAAAAAGGAGCGAATCCCCACCATTTGGGTGTGTGGCTGCTCCCTAGTCCTGTCCCTTCCTGTATTCTCTCAGCAAATCCGCCATAGTCAAATGCCTTAGTTGAACATCATGGACCAAAGCACACAGTGGTTGTGCTGTGGGGTCTTTCCAGGCAGTCTTTGTCATCACTTGCTCTCCAAGAGCACCTGCGCCTCCTACCCTCTCGCCTCCCATTTGCTGCCACAGGTTGACCTGATGACAGTCCCTGGAAAGCCTCCCTGCTTGTGACAGTGACTGCCCATAGTTCATTTGGAGGGCAAATGTGGACGAAGAGGGTCAGGGAGCCCAGGCACCATCAACAAGTGTCCACCTCAGATAAAATTGGGAGGATGGTAAATTGAGCTGTGTGCTGCTTTGGGATTAGGATGTGACAGCAGCTGACCTCCTTTTGTCACTGAATGTGCTCTGGCCCCTGAGCCGAACTCTTCCTTTGCAGGTTAAGCCTCACAGAGTTCGTAGGAGATTGGTTCAGTAGTGCTAAATGATGAGAAGATTGAGAGCCCGAGCTCTTTAGTTCAGTCTGGCTCCTTTGTTTACCACCTCTTTACTTTGGGGACATTTTTCATCCGTAGAGCTAAGTGACACTGTAGACCAGAAGCATTTG